AAAACTACCAGTGGTTCCATGAGAGAAAGATGAGGCGTTCTGCTCCCGTAAAGATTTACAGCCTCGGACACCTGGTGCAGGGTCACTATGAGTCGGAACCGACTCCACAGTACTTAACAACAACAACTTTCCATTTAAGGAGTCCTGGTGTGGCCATGTAGGACAAGCAGTTCAAACCCACCATCTGTTCCTTGGAAACCCTACACAGGGTCCCTATGAGTCTATGGGTCAAACAGAATCAACGGCACTCAACAACATTCCATTTAAACCCCTGATCAAATCTAAAATAATATAGGTACCATGGCTTCACTGTCAGTTTCGAATACGAAGATGCAACGGCACAGGGTAGTAAAGTGACTGTCCAATGTTGCATAGCAGTTCAATGGCAAGGTCAGGACTAGGATTCCAATTTTCTCATTCATGATTATTGCTTTTATACAGTTGAATAAATAAGTCAATTTAAGTAAGTGTCACTATAGTGTCTCCTCTTCACCAGTAATTATTGAAAATAATCGTAGAGATGCTTAAAAAGCTCAAGGGACTTTTAATATTCTATAAAATACCATTTACCAATGTATGTCTCTAGTTCACATCTATTACAGTATGTTCCAGTATGTTCTAGTGTTTTCTTATGAAAAGTCTGTAGCTCAGTAAATATCCAACTATTGCATATAGGAAACAAAAAACCTAAGTGGAAATCAAATTTCACTACTTAACTTCCAACATTGGAGTCCTGGTACTTAATGCACTGGACAGCAAAGTCAGTTTGAACCACAATGTCTGAGATTCAAGTTCACCAGATGCTCCTTGGAAACCCTATACAGGTTGCTATGGGTCAGAACAGACTCAACAGCCCTTAACAACAGCCTCCAACATTAAAACAGCCGTCTGTCTTTAGTACTACTGGAGCCCTGGTAGTGTAGTAGATTATGTTGTGGTGGATTATGTGTTAGACTGCTAATCACAAGGTCAGCAGTTCAAATCCAACAGCCAGAGACAAAGATGAGGCTTTCTGCTCCTGTAAAGATTTACCACTTTAGAAATCCTATATAAGGTTGCTGAGTTGGAACTGACTACATGGGTAACTTTGAGTTATTTGCTAAATTCAGAAATGGATCATGATGCTGAAGAATAAAATTTGGTTAAAATGATTCTCCTTAATATATCGGGTTGGAAGAGTGGAGTCAGGCCAAAGTAGGCATAAAATTACATATATAAACTTTTACCAGACCTCTAACTTTACGTTTACTAATTTTAGACACAGGTTGGTTCAGATTTTCAGTGGCTCATAAACGATGTTTCATTTGAAACTAATAAACACATTTGAAAAAGTATATATTTGTTGTTGTTGCTGCTAAGTGCCGCTGAGCTCATTCCCACTCACAGCAACCCTGTAGTGTGTTTCCAAGGAGCAGCTGTTGGGTTTGAACTGCCAACCTTTCAGTCAGCAGTCAGTGCTTATCCTACAACGCCACAGACGTCGACTTTATCTGCAAAGATAAGCACTTAATATGGTGCTGCAAAAACTAAGATTCCGTAGATGCTAACGCTGTTCTATGATTGTAGAAATACCAACAAACGATACTGATTTACTAAAATTAAGTAATTTATAAGAACTTCTGTATGTAATCTTTTAGTGGGTTATCCAAAGTGCTTGAGGAACGCTTTCACCAAGAATCGCTCATTCTCAGCTACAATCTTGGAGGTCTGGAGTGGCCTGTAGGATAAGCACTGGACTGCTAACCACAGGTCAGTGGTTCAAATCCACCAGCTGCTCCTCGGAAACCTTGTGCAAGGTCACTATGAGTCAAAACTGACTCAACAGCACTTAACTTTAACCTTGGTACTGTCAGAATGCCATGGAGGTTTTATTTGTAGGTTGTTGTTGTTGGGTGCCATCGAGTCAGTACCGACTCATAGTTAAGTTACGCACAGCAGAACGCAACACCTAACTAAATTAGTGGAGTCCTGGTGTGGCACTGTGAGTTAATGTGCTGGACTGCAAAGTCAGTTTGAACCATAGGGTCAGCAGTTCAAGCTTACCAGCCACTCCTTGGAAACCTTATACAGGGTCGCTCTGGTAGCGTAGTGGTTACGAATCGGGCTGTGAACCTTAAGGTCAGTGGTTCAAAACTACCAGCAGCTCCATGGGAGAAAGATGAGGCTTTCTGCTCCCATAAAGATTTACAGCCTTGGAAACCTGTACAGGGTCGCTATGGGTCGGAACCGACTTGACAGCACTTAACAACAACATGGATGAGAACCAACTCCACAGCACGTAACAACAACTAAATTAGTAACTGCAATATAAACAGATACTAAAAATACTCTTGCAATAGGTTGTGGAAAATCATAAATGTGCATGTTTATGTGAGTGAATTGTGGTATTGACAGAAATACGCAGATATATACATATATATGGAACTCAAGTGTGGTGCTGTAGGATAAGCACTGGGCTGCTAACCAAAAGGTTTGTTGGTTCAAACCCACCAGCCATTCCTCGTAAACCCTACACAGGGTCACTATGAGTCAGGACCGACTCGATAGCACTTGACAACAACACTTAAAATGAAATTAATATAAACAAGATATTTAAGAGAAAAGAAATACAGAAATTTACTAAAGGTTTTTTAGACGTTTTATAAAATAAAATGTTCTACCTTTGATCTACGTCAAACTTTCTCATTTCCTTCAGCTACTGAGAATACATACAAGTATTTAGTGTAGCAGGGTTCCACAGATCCTAATGTATTTATGTAAAAAACACTGACACTAAAGAATAAGAAGACACCATGGAAACCAGGGATATAAAAGTTTGTTTTACAAAGAATACAAGAATTTTGTTTTGTTTTGTGTTAAATATTTAAGTCATCCAAAACTGATGAATAGAAAATACATAATATTTAAATCAGCAAGAAATAGCTACATGATAAAAAAATGAAACCTTCCAGAAAGATGTTCTCTTCTAATTGAACACTTTCTCAAGTAGGCATTGTCATTTAGAAATTGTTTCTTAAAGTATTTTAATGCTAGTGACATTTTTACGAGCCAATTCAGGACATAAGCATTATTACTCCTTGAACCCTTAACTTCCATATCAAATAACTGAGAGTCATTATTCCATTTCTCCCTTTGTTGAACTGAGAAACCACCCTAACATGCAAAAAGCATATTAGTCTCCAGACTCTTTGTCTTGGTCAAAGTAGTAACAGCACAGAGCCACTCTCAACCTCAAGCTTTTTACTGTGAAACCTGTGAGTCAAAACTCGATTAAGACTGTTTCCTTTTTCCAGGTGTCCCAAGTTTCCCACCTGTGACAGGGTGAAGTCTTGCCACTTTTCTATCACTATTAGTGGAAACTATTTAGAGTTGTCCTTCTCTGACAGGTTTCCATCTTGCATGGTTCCAGCTTTTATAGCTTTTACTGTACATAGACAAAACCTAATGTGGTTCTCTGGAAGATGGAATTAGGGAAAGGAAAATGGAAGTTTAAGAATGTACTCAGGTTCTCCATGATAGTTTTCCTGAGGAAAATACCCTAAATGTTTTTAATAGACTATTGGAGTTGAATGTGTCTGATTATTTTTTCCATTTAGCAGTTGTGCAATACACTACACTGTGGTTATTGTTGTTAGGTGTTGTCAAGTCAGTTTTCCACTCAAAGCAACCCTGTGTGATAAGAGTAGAACTGCCCTGTACAGTTCTCTAACCTGCCATCTTTACAGAAGCAGATCACCAGGTCTTTCTTCCACAGCTGATCAGTGGATTTGAAGCTCCAATCCTCAGGTTATCAGATGAGTGCTTAATGGTTATATCACCAAGTCTCCCTTCTGTACTATCTACCGACAGCCAAACAATGGCAAGTTTCTCATCTTTCTTTGAATTCAAACAAGGTTGGATAAAAACCTTAAGCAATTGACTGGAAACACTATACATAACAAAAGAAAGTGAAACAGAAAAAAGTTCATGGCAAATCTACCTAATTACTGTAAGTTGCAAATGAAGTAGCATGGGGAGAGGGGATATTAATATGGTAAGAAAATACACAGTCACTTAAACAATGGACTTGAGTTCAGAAAAAGTAGAAACCCATGACAATTTTGACTGTGGAACTGGGAAAACAAATGTACATCTAAATAAATCATTATGATGATAGTGCTTTGCACTACATAACTCTGGGTTTAATATACCTTTGTTATGTATACCATTACGCGTGCTTCAGTATCTTTTATTTTCCAGGCCAGCAATCTCATTAAAAACTTATAATGGACCACCTTGCATTATTCCATAGTGAATTATCATGTGATTTAAAGCTGCATGGAAGTCTTGTCTCCTCCTTATATAGAGTTGCAGGTGCAAAAGAGGATTTTAGGGGTTAAGCGTGTGCTCTTTCATATTTTCCAGACAGGCTCTTTTCAAGAGTTTGGAATTAAAAAAAAAAAAAAAAATCCTGCCTTCAATAGTTGCTAATTGTGTGTGCTTCAAAAAGTGAGAAGTGTTAATGTACTCAACCACTTATTACACTCCAATGAAAATTTTACCTTTCAGAGTAATCATACAATATGGTTAAATCACACCCTGAAGCAACAGATAAGAATAATCTCTCTTGTAGTTAGTTACTGACTAATATAGAAATGGAGACCCACTGATCAATCTGCAAGCTATTGCAAAAGTTACACACTTGCTTGTGGTAGAGTGAGACAGGATATTTCCCCTTAAATGCTCCTACATGAACTTCAAGACGTTGAAGTCCAGTTCATTACAATATACAACAAAGGATTCTCATTCTAAATCTGAATACAAATGCATTTTAAGAAAAAATATGTGGGATTTAAAACTATATAGAGCATGGTGAGGCTTTCACTGTTGGGTTATGTGTATACTGTCTTTTGATCTGAAATGTTTCATACTTATACTTTCTGTATAGTTTTTGGACTGGAATGTGTTTTTCCACTAAAAGAAAAAAATCAACTGTTTTTCCACCTTAATATTCAACCTACCTGCCCATAGTTGTCTATGCCAGTTACTAATCTATTTAAATTTAATAAATCAAAAGCTGTCCTTAGGGATTGGCCAAGAGTCGTAAGTCCTTCAGCCTGAAGGTTTTTCAGTTCATTCATAAACGTTGCATGGTTTTCTTTCCACCCAGCCTGAAACAAAAAAAGAATTTCTTTTACCTTTCAAACCCATGTACACATGGGCAGCTGTTATAACCTAATTTCACCAACTAGCTGCTTCACTTTAGTCTGGTAAACTTGTTTGTACTATACAGTATCACTGCTGAGGAAACGCCATTCCAAAGGGGGCCAAGAATAAACCTGCCTGCTCTATAATATTTGGTAGCTAACAGCATTAATTGTGGATAACTTGACTGAGAAATTTACTACCCAATACCCCAAATCTCTCAAGATAGGAAGGTAGCGGCAGAGAACAGAAGGTACTGGACTTTTTAAGTTAACCTACAGCTGTCCCACTGGCCCAGGGCCCTCTAAGGAAGAATGTGAAGCCCAAGCCTGGCAGACCCCAAGCTCCCCTGGCGGCTCCCTAGCGCCCCAGCCCCGGGCTAAGTCCCCTTTAATGCAAAAGGGCTGCGCGGCCAGGCCCGCTGTCACTCGGCTAACTTGAATAAATATCCCCCACAGTTCATTGCTGCCGCTCACGCCGCGGAGGGGAAATGTCGGCCATGTTGATCGCAGCGCCTCCACCGTCGCGGGCCGGGCCGGGCCAGGGAGGGGACGGCGGTGGCCTGGCTACTCTGCGCCGCGCCTGACGATCCAGTGCGGGGGAGGGGGCGGAAGCCCGCAGGGGGAGCTGCAGGAGCGCTGGGCGCCCCGGGTGGGGGAGGGGAGCATAATGAAGGGTGAATGGGGGGGCGGGGAGGAGGAGAGGGCGAGGGCTGTTACCTTGATGGCATAGGGTGGCTCTTCGAAAGTGACCAGCATGTACCTGTCTCCTCTGCTGGCAGGATCTCGGGCACGGAGCTGCAGGAGAGAGGGTGGGGGACGCGGAGAGGAGCAGGGCGGGCGAGAGGGAAGCACACGGGCGAGGTTACCGGCGAAGGGGCGACCAGCGGCCCCCGCTCCCCCCAGTACCGCACACGCTGCGGCCCCGCCACCCCCACACACTGATCAGCCCCCCGCAGCCCGGTCCCGGGCCAGCCTCCGCTCTCAGCGCCCGCGCCCGCCTGCCCGCGCGGTGGGGGAGGGGGTCCCCGAGCCAGTGGCTCCCGCAGTCCAGTCCCCGACACCTCCGCCTCGCCGCCCGCCCTCCCCCACCGCGCCGCCCGCGGGCCGAGGTCGCTTCCCGGGCTCGGTCAGTCGGTACCTTCATGAAGGTCTCTACCGCGCCTTTGGCCGTGTCCAGGTAGGTGGTGCCCAGATGGCTGCGCTGGTTCATAGACGCAGACGTGTCTATCAGGAACAGTAAGATGGGCATAGTGCTGGCCGGGGACACCGGGGCCCGAGGTGGTGGAGAAAGAGATGGTAGGTGGCGGCGCCGGTGGCGGCGACCGCCGCTACACGGGGCGGGGGAGCAGGGCCCCCGTGAGGAAAACACCGTCTGGGTCTCTCCTCCGGCTGCGGGGAGTTTCTCCCCCGATAGTTGAGAGGAAACTCCCCAGACCCAGTCCTCCCAGACGTACCCCCGCCTCCGCCTCCTCCTGCCTGCCTGCCCGCTGGGCCGGGATCCCGGCCGTCTGTCTGTCGGTTCGTCCCCTTAGCCTCGGGGGTCCCGTCCCCGCTCCCGGCCCCTGTGTGTGTCCCAGAGGGAGACGGGCCTGGCTCCCCACCCCACCCCCGGTGCAGGGAGTGGGGACCTGGGAGCTGGCGAAGGGGTGAGTGGGCTGAAGGGAGATTGGCCCTGGGGCTGTTGGGAGAAGTTTCAGGGACTCCCTCTGCACCCCAGCGGTGTCACCACTTTCTCGGCCCCTCTCGCTACTGAAGCGCTTTTCTCTCTCACACTCCGCTTTTAACTCAGGCAGGGGCTGCAGAGGCTCCGCCTCTGACACGTCCCCGTGCCACGTGATACACCGCCCCGCTGTTTTATTGGCTAATATCTCTTCTTTTATTAGCATATTCAAACAGCTAAAGGGCGGGGGAAGCTTGTAAACCGGCTCCGGGAACAGTTATTGAGCACGCGCGGAGGCGGGGCGTCCTGTGCGCGCGCGAACGAACGCGAGGAGCGAGCAGGCGGGCGGACCGACGCGGAGGCGGGCTCCGGGAAGGGGCGGGTACGGATCGCGGAATGGCCGTGGAGTGGGGGAGGGGACGGGTCGACGCGTGCAGGTCCGCCGCGAGCCTGCGCATCAGGCCGCCGGCCTCTCCTTGGCTGTTGGAGGTGATAGGGGTCGGGGGAAGGGAAATGGAGACTGGCCTCAGCTCCTCTTCGAGGCCGTAGTGGTGAAGTGAACCCGTTCCCCGGTGGGCGAGTGAGGAAGGGATGAGTAAAGAAATCAAACTGTGGCAGACAGGTCGGGCCGCGGTCGCTGGAGGGCCGGCCCCTGCACGGGCGGGTCTGGGGCGGGGGAGGGGAAGTGAGAGGTTGTTTATGACCGGGGACTAATCTCTGCCAGTCACACCGCTCCCGCTGGGGAGTGGGGATGAGGGTCGAGCCTAGCTCGACTTGGCCGGGGAACCACAGGCTAGGGCCGGCCCCGGAACAAACCAGGTGCCCTTTCGTCTGAGCCCCAATCAAAAAAGGAAACAAACCTAATCCAACCTCAAAAAGGCCCTGAGAGAAGATTCAAATATCGGTTTACGATTAGTTGCCCTATTTCCTCTTAGGCTGGAAAGAATAACTGGGACTGCCCAGAGAAATGCCTTTCTCAGCCGCCTTTACTGAAGGCCATAGAATAGCAAGAGCTGGGTAGCAGTTGAGAAGGACCTTAGCAGCCATAATCCGTCAGCCACATTTTTCAAGTGAAAAACCGACTTGCTGAAATAACAACGGTTTTCAATAACCCTCCCGGTACTCTTCCAACATGCTGTTTTCCCACACTTGTTCCAAATCCTGTAGAGGGAGAAGTTCTCTGTAAAACATGGCCCTATAATCAGACCTGAAGTCATGGATCTTCGCCTTATTGACCTAAGAAAAGTGTCCTCAAATACTCGAGTTGAAAAATGGAAGGCACTGCCGTAAATGCAAACTGAATTGGGGATATAAGGACCTTATTTTTGTTACGTGTTGTCCAGTCGATTCCAACGCAAAGCGACCCTGTACAATGGGCGGCTGGTCAGTTTGAACTGTTGACCTTGTGGTCCAGTGCTTTATCCCACCGCACCACACAACACTCCCTGAGCACCGTATCCACTAAATGTCTAGTCTGAGGACCTAAGACTAGATACTTAAAAGCGCTTTCCTACAAGCTTGCATTGCCTGAATTTCATTATTCTTTACCTGAAATCCTTAATTATTTGCCTACTGATCATTTAGAGAAATGGTTGCTATTAATGCTAACACCAAAGAAATGCCATGTGGCACTTTTTTTTTAAATCTTAAGTTTCATAAATTGGATTTGGCCGTGTTTTCGGCAGCTGCAAGGTCCAGGAAATCCCAGCCAGACCACACTCAACAGACATCACCCCCAGCCCTTTGGCCCCCCAGAAACTCCAATACATTTATCTGACCTCCCACCTAAAAAAAATGGGGTTTATCCTAATATTTAAGACGACCTCTGAAACTTACTGTTCATTTATATTAGGGCATTTTCAGTAATAATGCTGCTCTGCGTTTATGTACCGTGAGAGAAGTATCATTTTTGAGGTTTGGATTATGAAACAGAAAGATAGAGTACAGATCTTACAGTCTATTTGCTGAGGACCTACCTTGTGCTAGGTATGTTGTTAAGTGCTGGTGAGTCGGTTCCAATCCATAGCGACACTGTATAGGGTTCCAAGGAGCAGCTAATGAGCTTGAACTGCCAACCTTGCAGTTCAAACCCACTTTGCAGTCCAGCGAATTAACCCACAGTGCTACGTATGGTGGAGATAAAAAGTAACTAAAATAGGATCCTAGTATGCAGAATATTTAAAAAAAAAAAAAAAAGTTTCTGCCTTTAAAGAGCTTATGGTATTCTAGAAAAAAAAAAAAAAACAAGCACATTACTACAAAGCAGGCAGTGATAAGGTACTACATAGTTCAGAGAAAAGCCTGTATTAAGTTATGAGGAAAGAACATCTTTTAGGGTCAGTATGTTTAAGCTGTGCTTTAAAGCAGTATTTCTCAAACTGGAATCTTAGACCTGAAAATAAGAATTAAGCATTCGATAATACTTTTAAATTTCTGTTTTCATTTTTTACAATAATATACAAATTTTTTGGTCAGTTAAAAAGGCATTTTCTTTCAAAATGATAGCCATATTCAGAGAATAGGCCTTTCGTTTCCACTATTAGTATTTTTAAACTCACCTACAGACCCCTTCCTGCTTGTCTGAATATGTATTCTCTAAGATCATAAGAATTTACATTGCATTATTAAATTATTCAGGGACCCTTGGTGGTACTATGTCTAAAGCACTCTGCTGCTAATCAAAATTCAGAGATTCAAACCCACCAGTTGCTTTGCAGGGCTGCAGGGGAAGACCTGGGAATCTGCAATCTAGGAAATCCTATGAGGCAGTTCAACCTATAGGGTTGCTGTAAGTCAGAATCAACTCCATGGCACATACATTACATTATTTAGTAATGTGAGCAACATTGTTTTAAAGGATTGGTAGCATTTTGGATATATGAGTAAAGAAAGAAGCTGCTGGCAAAAAAAAAAAAAAAGTCCTTCCAGACTTTGAAAATGTAGGGATAAAAGCAGGAGAGCTTCTTGGGGACAGTAAAGTTAGGTATGTCGAAGCGCCAGGTAGGCGCAAGAACAGTAAAACATTCAGAAAGGTCTGTCAGGACTAGACGGTAGAGAGCCTTTTTTCCAAGCTAAGGAAGTTTTTTTTTTTTCTTCTTTTCTATAAACAAGAGATTTCAGGTGTGCTGAGAAAAGCAGTGCTTGAAGAAAGCCAGACTGTTGTTAGCTCAATGGAGTTGGACCCCAACTCATGAAAACTTCATGTCACAGAGTTGAACTCCATAGGCTGTACTTGGATGTAACAGCTACAGACAATCTTAACAAAAGTAAATTGCCAGGTCCTTTCTTCCATGAGGCTGTTGGGTGGGTTCAAACTGTCAACTTTTAGGTTAGCAGCTTATCACTAACTCCTTCCACCTCCGGGACTGCTTATTGAAATGTTTTGTTGTTAAAGTGCCTTGGAGTCAGTTCAGACTCATAGCTAGCCTGTCTAGGGTTTCCAAGGCTTTAAATCTTTACAGGAGCAGAAAGACACATCTTTCTCCCACAGAGTAGCTAGTGGACTTGAGCCATGGTCCTTGTGATTCACAGTCCAGTGCTTATCCTATGGAGCTACCACACTCCCTTTGATATGTATTAACATATGTTAGTGACTTAACTAAATCATATAATCATTTGAAATCCTTTTCCTACTGAGTCATCTTAACTATTTCCTGCCTCAGTGGGGTTGGCTGGTTATCTTTCTGGGGTCATAAGTGGAAATGTAGGATAAGCACTGGACTTCAAGTTCGTTTGAACTGCTGTATCAGCAGTTCAAAGACACCAGCCGCCCCTCAAACACCCGATACAAGGTCGCTAGGATCCTCAAACCAACCCAAGGCACTTAACAACATGGTTGAGTCAGAGTCAGATGCAAAGACCAGCAGGTCAGCTGTGCCACGTCTAGAGTATATAATTAGAACCTGTGCTAGGAAGTCTGGTATGATGCTATAGAATAAGCATTGCACTGCTAACTGCAAGGTTGGTGTATCAAAACCACCGGCAACTCGTCAGAAACCTTATATAGCGTTGCTATGAGTCAAAACTAATTCCACAGCACTTAACAACATGCTTATGATGGAGCCTGAAATCAAAGGTCAGGGTTCTAGTTCAAAGCTCAGATGTGCTGGAAGGCACAGAACTGGAAAGAAATCAGGGCAAACATACACAGCAAATCAAGAGGCAATCAAAAACAAGGAAGTTGACAACCTCTCTAGACAAAATTGTGAGATAGGCTAAGTGTATTCTTAGTGATGCACTAGTTGACAGGCTATTGGTTGATAGTTTCATAAAGTATTAGTTGTTAGTCATGAAATTCACATCAGAATCACCTAGAGCTTTTTAAAAATATACCAGGTCTAGGGGGCCTGGAGGAAGACAAGAATCTCCAGTGAGTACTATCCAATCTGTCTAGGCAGAGCTGATGAAATGAAATGCCCATGGGTCTCTTGTGATACAATAGTGAATAATTGTTATCAGGACTGATTGTGAGGGTTGGAAATGTAAAGGTAGACATTTAATAGCAAGGAAGGGAGTGATTAACTTTCCAGTCCAGGAGCGGAGATCCCTAGGACCATCAGTGGAGAAGAGCCGAGAGCAGGACCCTACCCAGAGAAGCAGTGATGCCTGAGATGGAGGCAGAGACGATGACGTGGAGCGATGGAGCAGCTGGGGACTTTAGATCCAGAGAGGGAGAGCGACTGTGTGCTGTAGTGTAGGGGCAGGCTTGCAGGGTATACCCTTTGGTTGGTTGATGATGCATGGAGGGGATTGGAACCATGTCAATGAAACGATCTACGATAAAATGAATGTAAAACTAATGTTCTCCCATGTAAACTATCATATAATTCACAATAAAACATTTAAAAAAAAGAACCAAAAGATCTGTTTTGGAAGAAGTACAGCCAAAATATATATACCAAGTCTTAATCCCTGAAGAAAGTAATTCAGTAGAATTTGGGTGTACCCTGAACATTCTTTTAAAAAGCTCTTCAGGTCAGTCTTATATGTAATACTGATTGAAAACTGCATGCTTAAAAGATAGGAATAATTATGTGTCTGGCATCTAGTAGATACTCAGTAAATAACTGGAAAAC